AACTCACCTGCTTTAGAAAGATTTTCATCAACAGGAATCGACACCAAAGAAGTGTGAACCTTCCATTACCCAGAAAAATTAATTAACCAAAACAGGCCACCACCACCCAGAAACAGGTGGATGAGGTTTTACTGTCTGTTTGGCCCCAGGCATCCCCCATTAAGGCTGCCCTCAGTGTCTATTCTTTTTTTTTTTTTTTCCTTTTTGTCTTTTTTTCGTGGCCGGCAACGGGATCGCAACCCTCGGTGTCGCGCCTGCACCACACTCAACCAGTGAGCGGACCGGTCTCTATATGGGATCCGAACCCTCGGCAGGAGCGCCACCGCGCTCCCAAGCGCCGTACTCTACCGAGTGCGCCACTGGGCCGGCCCCCTCAGTGTCTATTCTGATCAATGCTCACCTCACCAGAGGAGGAGATGTCCCCTATGTGCCACTGTGGGGATCGGATGAAATGGTGTCTATCACTAGCAGCCAAATGGGCCAGCACATAGGAGGCACTCAGGAATGGTTGTCCAAATGAGCTTTCACAGAGTCATGTTCAAGGCCTTGGGGGAGTTATCAAAATGAAGGGCTTCCCTTATTCTTTCAGCCTTTTAATAAGCATCAACTTTGCACCAAACTATATGCTAAGCAGCAGGCATGCAGACATCTGGCCTAGGCCTAGGCAAGGATACTGGGTGCAGGATTGAAGTCACTTTAGTAAGTAAGAAGTATATTTGGGGGCCGGCCTGTGGCTCACTCGGTAGAGTGCGGTGCTGATAACACCAAGGCCACGGGTTTGGATCCTATATAGGGATGGCCGGTTCGCTCACTGGCTGAGCCTGGTGCTGACAACACCAAGCCAAGGGTTGAGATCCCCTTACCGGTCATCTTTAAGAAAAAAAAAAAAAAAAAGTATATTTGGACCTCCATGGACTAGACTATGAGAATCTGTGAAGAATAACTCCAGGGATGGCAAGATGCATTTTGCTCAGACAGTTTAGAACTGTTTTCCACTTTGATAGCCACTGGTCCCATGGGAAGTGTGGCTGGTCTGAATGGAGACGTGCTCTAAGTGTAATACATGCACCAGGTGGTGAAGACTTGGGACAAAAAAACCCGGTCAAATTTCTTATTGATAATTTTTATATTGATTATATGTTGAAATGCTATTTTAACATATTGAGTTAAACAAAGCATTAAAATTAATTTTGCCTGTTTTTCTTTTTTAATTTTTTAAAATTTATTTTATTTATTTATTTATTTATTTATTTATTTTAAGATGACCGGTAGGGGGATCTTAACCCTTGACTTGGTGTTGTCAGCACCATGCTCACCCAGTGAGCTAACCGGCCATCCCTATATAGGGATCCGAACCCATGGCCTTGGTGTTATCAGCACCACACTCTCCCGAGTGAGCCTCAGGCCGGCCCTTGTTTTCCTTTTTTTAAATGTGGCTACTAGAAAAATTTAAATTACATATGTGGCTGGAATTATATTTCCAGCCAACAACACTAATTTAGAAAAGCCTGCTTTCTGAGAAGATTTCCTGCCCCTCCTCATCAGACACTCCCTGCAGTATGGGGAAGAAGGGGGCTTCCCAGCCTGTTACAGATGGAACAGGGACAGGTGCTATGAGAGCCCACAGGAGGGAAGGTTGGGGGCAGGGGAGTGATGGAGGAACCTGGCAACAGACAGGAGTTAGGCAAAGGGTTGAATTAGCATCAACTTCAGGTTAGCCTTGAATATGGCTTCTGTGACATAGATAAGACTATAGCAACGGTAAAGTTATTTTTCTTTTTTATTTATTTATTTATTCCTTTTTGTCTTTTTTTCGTTACTGGTAACGGGATCGCAACCCTCAGTGTCGCGCCCGTACGGCGACTGGCAACAGGATCGCAACCCTCGGTGTTGCGCCCGCGCCGCGCTCAACCAGTGAGTGGACCAGTCTCTATATGGGATCCGAACCCTCGGTGGGAGCGCCGCCGCGCTCCCAAGCGCCGCACTCTACTGTGTGCGCCACCAGGCCAGCCCTATTTATTTATTTATTTGTCTTTTTCGTGACTGGTCAGGGGATTGCAACCTTTGGTGTGGTGTCGCCCGCACCGCGCGCAGCCAGTGAACGCACCTGGCCATTCCTATATAGGATCTGAACCTGTGGCGGGAGCGTCGCTGCGCTCCCAGCGCCGCACTCTCCCGAGTGTGCCACGGGGTCGGCCCTGTCAGTAAAGTTATTTTTCATTTATTTTCTGTTTTCCTTTTTTATTTTCTGTTTTCTTCTTGTAGAATTGTTTCAGTGTAAAAAGCTACACATTTAAGAAATAATGTCTTATTCTACTTAGTATATTTAAAAACCACTAACAACCAGACCTTCAAATTAATGTTAAATAGTCTTAATATTTGAAACTCTATAACATTAACATACTATTTTCTTCTCAAGCACTTCAAATTCCTGATGAACTAGCAAAAACCAAGTCATTGAGTAAGTCTAATGACGGCAGCCAACTCTGAACACTTACTCTGTCCTAAGCAGTGTTCTGTGAGTTACGTCCTTTTATCGTCACAACAGTCTCATGGGGTCAGGATTATTAGTATCCCCATTTCAAAGAAAAAAGGAACTGAGGCACAGAGAGAAAAGTGACTTTTCCAAAGTCATGTAACTCTTGGGGAGGACTCAAAGTTTCCTGGTTCTTAAGCCTGGTTTTTGCCTCCACTTGTGGTGGTTGCTCCCTGTAATGGATTGAATTATGTCCCCCCCCAAACTCACTGAAGCGTGAGTTGTGTCCCCCATGTTTTATGTATTAGAAACTTGGTTCCCACTGTGACTGTTAAGAGGGTGAGAAATCATATCATGTAATTGAAAGGTGGAGCCTTGAAGAGGTGATTGGATTGTAGGACTGTGCAGTAGTGAATGGATTAAAGATGGTGGTCAGGGGCGTGGTTCTGAGGGCTTTAAAAGAAGAGTCTGTCTTTCTCTCTCTCTCTTGCTCTCTCTGCTTTCACCATCTTGCAATGTGAGACCCCTGGGTGGTGACATACCCAGTTTCTAATATTTTGTCATAAGCAACAGAAACTGATTAATACACTACCACAGAGTAACATTTGTCTAGGTCTTTTAACTGTTCCTCAGGGGGCTCAATCAGATCTGTTCCCCCTCCATTCCTGCGAGATGGCTTGGGGCCGATGGGGACCAACCTCAGGGGAGCCCACAGCTGTCCCAGGGGCAGGACTGAGATTGGAGGTGCTCAGTTTCCCTGGGTTTGGGTTTCAGGGCATATCTCTGGGTTTCAAGCCACTCCCCAAGGTCTGAGGAACCTCCTCTAGGCCCTCCCCTAGAGGAGAGTTAACTGTTGTTGGTTGGACCTATTTTTGGCACCAAGGAGAGGAAATTGAGACCTCAGGGGGTTGACTTAGGCAAATATAGTGGCTGGGCATGCTCAGTAGAAAGGGGTTATATAACCCTAATAGCTGAGCATGCTCAGTAAGGTGGAATTTATATTCATTAGATAGCATGAATATGTATTAGATAGGGTACCTATAAAAGTTGAATCCCAGTAGAAAGCGAGGTCGTTGCTCACTTTCCTGGAGCCAAACCACACTTTGCAGGCTGAAGTGTGTATGCTTTCTTTTTTGTGTAAACTTACTTTCAGCAAGCAGCTGCTCACTCTGTTGAGCCTCCTGCACTCTGTACTGAATTATTTTTTTTATTTTTTTAAAAGATGACCGGTAAGGGGATCTCAACCCTTGGCTTGGTGTTATCAGCACCACACTCAGCCAGTGAGCCCACCGGCCATCCCTATATAGGATCCGAACCCGTGGCCTTGGTGTTATCAGCACCGCACTCTCCCAAGTGAGCCACGGGCCGGCCCTGTACTGAATTTTAAGTGTGTATTTGTTACTTTTGTATTATACTTGTTATGGGCCTGCTCTGTGAAGTCTGTATCTCTTATTCATTATATTTAAACCTGTTCTCACTTTCTACTGTGACTCTATCCTTGAACTCTGTCCTGTGGTGGAGTCAAGAACCTGGGGTAGGTCGACTATTGGTTATCGCCTTTCCAGACCCTCTCCTCTGGCATCGGGATCATATCCTTTAGATGCCTCAATGCCAATGCAGCGTGTATGAGAGTATCGTCCATCATGCCCCCCCAGGCCAGAGAGGCCATCCCGTCTGTGTGGGGGGATCCCTTGCCCAGGTATACAGCAAAGCAGAGCCACAGCTGGGACCAGGATCCAGGCTGCAGGCTGCCATTCTTTAAGGCCAGCAGGCACCACCAGCTTCTAGGAGATTCGCTGTGTTCGGCATGGCAGATGGATGTGCGTGCTTAGACTAAAGGACCTGAGTGGTCACCTTTCATCTCTGTTGCCTGACCCTCGCACAGCCCTCAGTGACAATGAAGTGGCTGTGGGCCCGGGTATGAGCACGAGACCCGCTTTGCAGCAGATGCAGAGAGGGTAAACTGGAATGACATCAAACCCAGCGCAGGGTCCATTCGCCCAGGCCCAGCTCTCAAGCGAGGCAATAGGCGTTTCCGCCTGGCACACAGTAGGCGCTTCTTTCTCGAATGAAGAGCGGCACCTCCAAGCCGCCAGCATGCAGAGGGAGGATATCCGGAGAACCCCGAGAGTCCTGCACACTGCTTGCGGCGCTGCGCGCCTGTGGGGGCGCTGAGTCAGAGTCGGCGGTGCGGGGTGGGCGCCGGGAGGGGAAGGATACGGGGAGGGGCTTGGGCGCGGGGAATGGGAAGCGCCGACTCCGGGAGGGCAGGGGGCGCGGCCGTGGGGAGGGACGCGGGGAGGA